AGATAATAAATATTATTATTGTTGTTTCAAGCCACTAAGTATCATTTTTTAAGATTTTCTTTTATGTAATCTCTACACCCAATATGGGACTCAAACTTACAACCCCAAGATCAATCAAGAGTCATATACTTTACCGACTGAGCCAGACAGGCACCCCTCAAACCACTAAGTTTTGAGATCATTTGTTAACAGCAGTATATAACTAACAGTGCTAGACCGCAGCGCGGTGCCTAGGCAGTAAAGACTGTAGTAGAAAATCAGGAGGGGGCCTACGGGGAGACTTACCAAGCCCCACACGTTCTATGCTATTGGTCAGAAGACAAGCCTACTGTTCCTCAATCTCCTAGCAGACATTCTTAGAACACTGGGATCTTGGCCAGGACCACGGGTATTACAGGCAGAAGATATAATACCCAGAAGCATGGGAGTTTGTATCAAACAACTATGCCCAGAGGCCCAGCCTAACCAGCCGTGTCTCAGCCCACAGCAGGCAACATGAAAAGGCCAAATGAGAAGAGATTTGGCCTTCTCAAATCTCTGAGAACTGGATGGCAGTGCCTGGACCATGGGCCTCCTACACCCTGGTGTCCAGCAGGAAGAGGGAAGGGAGAAGAGGAACAAGGCACTCTGAAAGACTGCGAATTTACTCCTAGAAAACTGAGTGAGATGAGAACTTTAAACTAGAAGTGAGGAAGTTACTTTGGTTGGGTGAGTTTGAGTTTATTCCACTGCCAAAGAAAAACGTTCATGAGCAAGTGGGGTTCGGTTTTAAAAACTAAAGTTCTGTTTCTGCACATCTGAGACAGGACTATAAATTTTAAATCCACCACAAATTTTTATTTCTTATACTTCAGACAACTAAAAGTTACAAAGAAAAACAAAACGAAGGTTCATGTACCCACCAACTAGCCTAAGAAGTAAGAAGTCAGGGTCCCTTGAGTCCCCCTCCCTGACTGCCTTTCCACTCACTCCCACAGGTAAATGCTATCCTGAGGATTTTTCATGCCTTTCTTGTTACTTTAAATCTACCTCCCCAATTAAGAGTGCATTATTTGGCCAATTTCTACTCTTTAAACAAATAGTATCATACCATAAATACTTTCCTCCAACTTCCTTTCTGCTCAACATTACAGTTGTAAGATTCATCCACGTTGAAATCTAGAATTCCAGTGCATGTAATTAATTCAATTTCTTAGTCTAAATGTATTATAGATACTGATTATTCCTATTATCTTACTTTGAATCTTCTAATTTTGTCTAAACTTTCTTTTTTTATTGTTTCTCAATGACTTTTTTTATTGATTAGATTGTTTTGTTGTCTCTACTGATTTATAAGTGCACATTTTGTTTCTAATATATAATAGTTGCCCTTCATTTGTTAAATGGATATTTAACAAAGTTTAGTATTATTCAGGACTGTTACCCTTCCCCAACAACTCAGCTCCAGCTCCATTATCGGTGACTAACATTTTAGTTCTGCTTCAGTTTTTACCCACAAATTATGTATCATTGTGTTGCTCTATATAACCAATATTTGTTTATATTTCCCCATTTGTTTACCAGCTTTTTGCTCATTATTCTCCTGCATCTCACACCTTCCTTTTGAGACCCTTTTCTTTTTTCCTGACAAAGTTTGTAAGTCTGATGATAACAAATGCTCCCTTCTTTGGCTTGTCTAAGCATACCATCGTTTACCTTCATTCTTGAATGCCAGCTTGTAAACAGTTCTAGGTTGGCCATTATTTTCTCTTCCCCTTTGAAGGTTTTAATGTATTACTCCACTGGTTTGTATTGTAGCTAAGGTGTCTGTTGTCCGTCTAATTGTTATTTTTTTTATAGATAATCTGTCTTTCTGCCCTCTTTTAATATCTCTTCTTGGTTTTTATACTTTTACAATGATGGGACTAGGTATGGATTTCTCTTCTTTTTATTTATTCTACTTGAGATTCATTTTGCTTATTGAATCTGAGTATTCATACCTTTCATTAATTTGGAAAAATAATCAGCTATTATCTCTTTAAACATTTTCTCTGTCCCTTCCTCTGTTTCCTCTCTACCAAGACTCCAAATAGAATTTGAATCTCTCACTTTATCTTCCTTGTCTCTTACCCTCTGTTTTGTATTTTCTACCTCTTTGTCTCTCTGTGCTGTATGCTGGGTAATGTCTTCATATCTAGTTAATCATCTCTTAACCAATGCTAAATCTATTCCCTGATGTTAAACTCATTCAAAGAGTTTTTGAATTTCAGTTATTATGTTTTTAATTTTTAGAAATTCTAATTGGTTTATCAATTCTGCTGGAATTTTTAAAATAGTATCTTCTCTTTGTCATGTTTTTAATGTCTCCTCTTGAAACATTTTGGATTTGGTAGTTTCATATTCTATATCTCATAATTCTAATATCTGAAATCCTTTTTGGTCTAATTCAGCTATGTATTATTTCAGCTGACCCCTCCCCAGAGTAGCTTGGATTTTTTCGTGTGTTCTGGATTGTGTGATTGGCAGGATTTTATCAATTGGGATCCTGTGAAACCAAGGGAAAATTTATTTCTATTCATATCTGGAACACTTAAATTTTTGGCTCAGGGCTTTCTAGTCCAAGCAGGCAACAATTACTTCAAACTCCGAATCTGCAGGAGGGCCAGACAATAGATACAACTTCTCAGGGAAGGAAATTTTTTTACAACCAATCCTAGGGGAGAGCCAAGCCTGCAGAAACAAGTTTCCTGGTCATGTTCTTTGATACTAAGTGGGCGTTTGTTTTTTAAGTTTTATTTACTTAAGTAATCTCTGCTCCCCCCCCCCCCCCCCCCCCCCCCCCCCCCCCCCCCCCACGCCGCCCTGAAACTCACAACCTGAAAATCAAGAGTCATACACTCTTCTGACTGAGCCAACCAGGCGCTAGGCTTTTTTAAACTCATTTTTTCCCCTAAGAACATAGCCCACCAAGAGCTTTATGCAGGAGTCTGAGGCATTCTCTGCTGTCACCCACACCCCTAGGTTACTCTGACAAACAACCACAAGGTAGCCTCAGTTCCAAGACTTGTTTTTTGGTCTCTGAGGATTTCCTTTATTTTCTAGTTGCCTTAACAACGTATTTAAATGAAGATGTGTTACATTTTACCCAGCACATCCAGGAAACTTACAATGGGAGGTTTTGGGGGGTTGGGGTTTTTTGCTTTTTGTCTTTGCTTTTGTTTTCAGGAGTTGTATGTCACCATAGTGTTCTCCGCGCAGCTTTTTAAATCATTCAGTTTGCAATGTGTTGAACAGGTTGGAGAGGAGAAAGACGCAGAAGCAGGGAGACCTACTAGGAGCCTGCTGCAGAAATTTACACAAAAGAGCATAATAACTTAAAAGAGAGTGCTGGTGGCAGAGACAAACAGATGGATGTGGGAGATACTTGGTAAATAAAATCAACAAGTTTTCAGAAATCCAAGAAGAAGTGTCTAGTGACAAGTTTTTATAGAGTCAAAAGGTCAAAGGAGAAATTCAAGTTGCATAGGATGTTGGGAAGCCTCTGAAAAACTGGTAACTGTATTTGTTACTGAACTCACACTTGTCGGTGCACCGGATGTTCAGTAAGCATCAATGTCTGAGACACCAGTTTTGAAGCAAATAAGTTTTATTAGCAGAGCAGCCCAACGAGAAGAAAGAGGATCATTCATAAAGCTGCCTTGCTCTGTTGAGTGAAGGGACAGCTTATAAATGTTTGGGGAAGGAGGTGAATACATGAGAGGTGGGTGAGGGGGTTACTGAAATCCTGAAAGGGGGATGGAGGTGTGCTATGTTTCCGGAAAATGAGTGGCCGAGCAGGACTTGGTATATCAGGCACGTCAGATAATTTTGAAGACAGATGTTACCGTCTGGTCCTCATTAGTTTTTTACAATCAGTGGGTAAACAGGGAGTAGGGGCGAAAAGGGCAAAGTTAATGATAAGCGGTACTAAAACATAATTAAGTAGAGAACAAAACAGAAGGTGGGCCTAAGTTACTAATGCAACTAACACAGCTATAGTGCTGCTTACGCTTTCAAAGCAGGTTCAGGAATTAGGTGTCCAGCCTCAAATTCACCCACATACACTTGGGAGAAAGTGCAGAGCGAAGAGAGGAAGGTCCTAGGTCCCAGCTTTGAGGAAATACCAACATTTTAACACCTTCGAAGCAGAGCAAGCAACAGAAACTGAAAAGTTTGGAGAAACACACAGAAGAGAGCTGTGGCTTTCACGAAGGCTGAGACATGACGATTTCCAAAGGGAGGGAGAAGTCGACAAGTGTCCAGTGAAACCGAGGTCAAGAAAAATAACTGGAAACTAGGCATTTGTTTTGGTGACACATAGGAAATTACTGCTCTTGACGACAGAGTCAATAAACAATAAAGGCAAAGGACGGGAGTGAATTGGGGAGTAAAAATGGACACCACTCCTTGGAGAAGTATGGCTATGCAGGTGAAGACAGAGGGCATTAGCATCCGAAGAAATAGGCTGGAGAAGGGTTAAGAGGAGAGTAACTTAAAAATTTTCAAATGAAGATAGAAAGGAAGCAGAACAGGGAGAAGAAAGGATGAAGAGGCCAGGCCGAAAGAAATCCATAGTACAGATAGAGAAATTCTCTTGCGTTACTACCAATTCGCCAGGCTGAAAGGACATTCAAATCTCTACGGGCTTTCGGTCATGGGTGGGTGGCTGTGTGCTCCCCACTCTAAAACCTTCCGTGCTCTGCCTTCGTACCTTCTTTGCCCGCCCACTGGGTCCAAGCCTACCACATCGCACCCCGGCCCCTTCCCAGCCACTCCTCGCGCTGAAATATACAGCCTTCTCTATGAACTCTTCCGGGTCGCCAAGGAGGACCACGCCCAGTCTCAATCCTGCCCGCCCCCCTATTGGAGCGCGCTTCTCGAGAGACACATGCGCACAAATGTCGCTTCCAGGATTGGGCGGTCGTTTCCATATTGGGAACTCCCCCCTAAATCTTGCGCGGGCGCGTTAGGTCCTGGTCGCTATGCGGGTGCTTGTGGGTGAGGGAGGGCAGAAAGGGAGAATCGGGGGCGGGCTTATGGAAAGGTTGAAACAAAAGACTGGGAGGTGGGAGATCGTTTTTGAGGGAGGGCAATGAATCGTGCACTGGTAGTCGTGCACCAGCCTTGGCTTCCTATCTCAGGAAGCCGAATCTCCCCCAGTCCCTGTGACCTGTGTCACTTTTGCATCGCGGGAGGGGGGAGGGGGGAGAAGTCTGGAGTCAGATGGGATAGCACCAGAGGAGGGGGCCACATGCGGGGACGGAAGGTGACCCCCCCCCCCCCCCCCCCCGAGAGGATAAATAGCTCGTAATTTCTGGTCAGGTGGCGGGACGGGCTTCATTGGGACAGCCCTAACCCAGCTGTTGAAAGCCAGGGGCCACGAAGTGACGTTGGTCTCCCGAAAGCCCGGGCCCGGTCGGATCACCTGGGTATGTCCATCCTCTGGAAGCTATGGGAGAAGGTCTGGTTTGGCGGCGCAGGGCAAGCCACCACCCGTACCTGCCTCATTGTTTTCTTCAACAGGATGAGCTCGCTACGTCGGGGCTGCCGCCCTGTGATGCGGCTGTCAACCTGGCAGGAGAGAACATCCTCAACCCTCTCCGAAGGTCAGCTAGGGCCCCGAAGCTGATGTCCTTCAGAGCAGAGGGAGGACGGGTGTGACCCTGATTAGGAGAACCTGTGAGCTGTGGCGAATGGAAATGTCCGATTGAGAACTAAACTCCTATCCCAAACTACTCATCCCGCCCCACTCCTCCCTCCACACCCACCTGCCCTTCTGCCTGTGTCAGCCATTGACTTTAGTCCTCACTCATAACTCAAGATACCCAAGATACATGCCTTTTTTTTTCCTACAGGAGAGATGGGCCATTCCTCTAAACCACAGTGCAGGGGTTTACTAGAAGTGGGTATGGATGAGCCCCAGGGAAAGAGGAAGGGATATGCGTGTATGTATTTAGTGACTTACTTCCCTTTTTTTTTTTTTTTTGCCTCCTGCAGGTGGAACGAAACCTTCCAGAAGGAGGTTCTCAGCAGTCGCTTGGAGACCACCCAGATACTGGCTAAAGCCATCACCAAGGCCCCACAACCCCCCAAGGCCTGGGTCTTAGTCACTGGTGTAGGTATGTCCCAAATCACCAGCCCTTTATATTAGCCAGAAGAAGAGAGGTTGCACAGCGAGGGGTTAGCTCAGGCCCTTCTAGCTATACACACCCGAGTACTGATCTTTTCCAAGCACAACAACTTCCTAGGCCCTCAGTCCATGCATATTTCTCCTGACCTTTGCGTACTTTCTCTGAGAAACCAGGATTCTCAGAGGAAGAGGGGATAGTGGCACTGCTCTCAGTGCCAGAAAAAGCCTCATCTACTCCCAAGTCCCTTGCTTCTCACAGCACAGTTCTTTGGGAACAGAATTTGATTCTTGTATTTCACCATTGGGACCAAAGAACTGCAAACGGTTATAGAACATATATCTGCCACTAGTCTAAGTGTTTTACACATATTACAGCATTTAACCCTCACAAGCACCCTATGAGAGATAGGTATTATTGTTATTCCTGTTGTAAAGATGCAAACATTCTGCAGAGAGAGGTTATATAACTTGCCTGAACTCATAGGGTTAATAAATGGTGGGGCTAAGAATAAATCTCAGGCAGCCTGGCACCGAAGTCTTTGCTCTTAAGCACTACACTCTAGCAGTCACTCAGCTTAGCTACAACTAAAGATAAGTTACTCTAGGGCAGGAACAGGTCAACTCGTGGAGTAGTTCAAAGGAAAACTAGGGCTCTGTCTTCCCATGGGAAGATCCCAAAGACCTAGGAGGGCAAGACCAAGGGAAACATCAGGTGCAAAGGGCCAGGCAGGACCAAGGATGTTGGGGCAAACCAGTGCTATTCCACCGGCAGCTTACTACCAGCCCAGCCCGACTGCAGAGTACGATGAGGACAGCCCAGGAGGGGATTTTGACTTTTTCTCCAACCTGGTAACCAAATGGGAAACTGCAGCCAGGCTTCCTGGAGAGTCTACACGCCAGGTGGTGGTGCGTTCCGGTGAGAACCAGGGGCCTGGGTATCAGACAGGTTTGGAATGTCTTCCTGGGCTCGGGGAGTGGCAGATTTGTGGCCAAGTTGTGGATGCGAGGACAGGAAGTCCCAGAGAGAGCCATACCTCTGAGCTACTACAGAGCTAAGCTGGCCTGGAAAAAGGGAGGAAGAGGAAACCAGGAGGAACTATGGAACTGCTGGAGGCTGAGGAGCCTCCCCGACCATATCTGACCATATCTCTTGCCTGCTCTAGGGGTCGTGCTGGGTCGTGGGGGCGGTGCCATCGGTCAGATGCTGCTGCCCTTCCGCCTGGGCCTGGGGGGCCCCATCGGCTCAGGCCACCAGTTCTTCCCCTGGATTCACATCAGAGACCTGACAGGAATCCTGGCCCATGCCCTTGAAGCAAGCCACGTGCAGGGGGTCCTGAATGGAGTGGCTCCAGCCCCCACTACTACAAATGCTGAGTTTGCCAAGGCTTTGGGCGCTGCCCTAGGCCGCCCAGCCTTCATCCCTCTCCCCAGCATGGTGGTGCAAGCTGTCTTTGGGCAAGAGCGTGCCATCATGCTGCTGGAGGGCCAGAAGGTGGTCCCACGGCGGACACTGGCCACAGGCTACCAGTATTCCTTCCCAGAGCTAGAGGCTGCCTTGAAGGAAGTCGTAGCCTAAGCGGGGAGGCCTCTGGCAGGGCCGGAGTCCTGTCCCTCAACAGAGGCTTCCTGGTTGGAGACTCAGGTAGTAGGCTCAGGTACTGAGACCTGAAACCAACTAGTCCTTAGAGATTCCTCTCCCTGCCCTCCTCATGGTTCCTTTGCTCCACCTGATTTAACTGAGAGACTGTCCAGTGTCTCAAGGTTGCAGTCTCATCAAGTTGGATCCTTAAACTCTTCAACTCCTTGGAAAAGAATTTCCAGATTGGTTTCCCTGTGTGTCCCATTACTGTCCCAGTTACCCTTTATGTTGTGTAGAGAATTCTCTGTGATTGAGGCAATAAAGATAAATTATCTCACAGGCTTCGTTCATCTCTTTGGCCTAGATTCTTCTGGAATTTATTTCTAAGGAAATGCCAGATGATTCTTTTCCCTACGTTGGGGTTTTGAAAGTTATACTGGGCATCTCTCTTCTTGGTCCCTCCCTTGCCAAGAGCCAGTAACAAATTTGGGGCATGAGGTTATTATAAAGGTAGAGACCAGAAAACGAGCGCAGTGATCATCCATTTCCAGTGGGTTCTATGGTCACCCTGTGTACTTGTTCACACAGTGCCGTTAGGGTGCCAGCAGAGGAAGAGACAAGGCTTCAGTCTAGGACAGCCTTCAGTCTGTCACTGAACAGCAGTGAATGAATAAAGCAATCCCGCTGGCCCTAGTTCATGAAGCTGCAGGACAAAGCCAGCATCCCCACCTGTAAGAAGCTTGGGACTTGCCTCTCATCTGATTGGGCTGACTTCAAGCAACCTGAGTCCCTAGCACGAAAGGACAGTTGGGTCCCTCTGGCCTACTGTCCTGATTGTGTGCCACGCCTTGACCAGAAGTAGTTCCCCCTAGCCCCCAGTTTGGGGCCAGATTACCCAATCTCCTTTCTTCCCAGAGGACTAGGAGTTGTCTATGAGTCCGTTACCCCACAACTAGCCTCTTTGCCACACACCTGCCCCTAGGTCAGGTCCACACAGGCTAGTGCTATAAAGCCCTAATGGGAGAAGAGCTGAAGACACTCTCCATCATCCAGCTCCCCAACACTAATTGCTGGAATGAAGAACGGAGATGGCAGTACTTAACTCGCTGTGTGCCACTCAGGGAGATGTCCACAGCCGTAAAAGAACCATGTCCAGGGACTTGCTGCAGAGCCCGGACAGCACAGAATCCAGGGGCACTTGTCCTACTTCTTTATCTGGTCTTGGACTCTTCAGGAAGTTGACGGGCTCTGTATTGTTCCTGAGAGAATGACCCACCCAAAGGTAGATGTAACAGAAAAGCATATTTGGGGGCTGCAACCAATACTGTCCACAGATGAAATGTGCAACCTTGGAGTAGTCAATTTTCTGGCACAGGAGGACTTGAAGCAGATAAAGGACAGGATGTAGGAATCAGGATGACAGTGGTCGATCTGGTGGCCAGTCAGGTGCCTTCTGACTTGGACCCTTTGGTTTTCATTTTCCAGATAATTGGTTCATCTCAATACCACCTCTATAAACCCTTCCATCCCCATACACATGCACACAGAGCAGAAGGGGGCCTCACTTTATGCAGTAAATGTGTTCTGTAGAGAAAATGCTGGGGTCAGATCACATTAACATTGTCACTGCAGACAGAGCATGGCTTCATCAGTTTGGCGAACACTCAACACTTCAGCAAGTGCATCTCAACGGGGACTTTCTGACACATTCGTTAATCTGTAAACAAACACTTGAATGCAACAGGAGAGCTGCCATTTATAGGAACCCTGAGAGTATTTTGGTAATGCAAACAGCCACCCCTAATTAACTGTTTTATAAATGTGGATTTGGGGGGGTTGCCCAAAAGGGACGCAGCCATGATAGGGCACATTATACTGAGGACGCAGTGTTAAAATCTAGGGCACGGGCCCTGGGGACTGAGGATCCTCAGCTCTCTGACAGTGAGGTTTTGGTTAGGAAGCCTGTGCAGCCACAGACAGACACACCTGAGACTTGATGCAAGTACCTTTCCTCCAAGGAGCTTTCCCCCACATTCTCATTTCTCTTCCCAGCTGGCATTTTTGCTCCTGATTTATACACAGAAGTAAAGGCCAAGCAGCTCAATCAAGGTCACAGATAGGCATAGCTGAGACCGGAAGCCAAGTCTCCCTCTGCCTTCACCAGCTCCCTGCTGCCCCACTGTGACCCAGACCCCATAACACTAGCCTCCCCAGGGCCCAGCATCCCCCTTCCCAGCCAGGCCTAGGAAGCAACCTGTCCTCTGACCTGCCAAAGCCAGGGCAAGGAAAGGCTTAGCTTTCTTGCCACCTGCTCTTCGTTCCCCACCCCCGTCTCCATCCCCAACTCAATTTGAAGGAGGAGCTAGCAGTCCCAATCTCCAGGACCTACTCTTCCCAGCAGCCCCCACTCCCTACAGAAACCCTGTGCTATGGCAAGGTTGAGAAGTTAAGGCTGAGCAGAACCTCCTGAGGGCTATTTGAGGTCCTGACTCCAGATGAGATCAAGTCGCACCAACTCAGAGTGAGTCTAGGTCAGGATCTGAGCAGCACAAGGACCCTCACAGAAAATGCTGAGCTGGGTGAGGCTGGAGCTGACAGTATAGCAGCCACTCGGACAGGTGAGACTCAAAAATTGAGGCTCAGTAGGGCCTCCGAGAGCTGGTTGATGTCCCGGCAGTATGGCTCCCGCTGCAGGATGAAGTCCACCTTGTGATCCTGGCCCCAAAACACCTCCAGCAGCTGGCGCCGGAGCCGCTCTGTCTCCCGAGTCTTCCGAATGCCACCACCGCCTTTTTCCTCCTCTTCTCTCCCCTGCTGCTGATGACCGTGTTCTGTGAAAGCCCTGGAAGGATGCTGAGCCTTAGAAGACCCCTGAGCCCTGGGAAGAAACAGAAAAAAAGCTGATGAGCATCACGGAGGGAAGTTAGAGCCCAGGGGGCATCCCAGTTAACTGCCTGGCCTATTCCTGGCTTGGAGGGAGGGGGGAGGTGGGGAATGGTCCTGAAGTTCCCCAAGATGACCACTGAGCGGCAGTATCAACCCACTTCTGAAGGGGAGGACATTTCCTTTGGAGCCACGAAGATGAACCCTGCCACTGGTATGATCTAGTTTTAGTCTAATACATTGACCACTTACTTCATGGTTCGGCACAGATGTGCTAAATACAACTGGCTATAAGTAAAAGCAACCATGTTCCAAATAATCCACCAAACATGGATCAGGGGAAGCTTCCCTCCCAGCCTGGAGGGTCTATGTCAGGATTCCCTGAAAAGCAGTTAAATACGGCCAAGCCCACCGCAACCTGAACCACTGAAGAATTAAGCTGGCCCAGATTGAGGTCACACTTCCCCCCAAGTCTCCAAGTCCACAAAGCCCTTCAGACAGAGGCCCAGGGCTGGGGGCTGTCTAGGAGAAGCTGGGGTGTTACCTGACTGGCTTCTTCAGGAACTCATCCAGCGTGGGGCCGTTTCGCCCCAATGGATCATCAGGAACCATGAAGAGGTTTCCCACAAAGGTGAAGGGCAGTAGGCTGGATGGGGACAGAGAATGTATGGTCACAAAGGGACCCTTAAGAACCTCCCAGACAGCTGAGATCAGCACCACCAGAAAATTACTGGCCACCGTATCCTTCAAGGCAATATCAAGCCCCTTCCCAGAGTCTTCACCCGATGGCAGAACAGAACTGGTTTAGAGAAAGGTCCGAGTATGCGCCCTGTTCTCAGGGGAGGGTTCCCTCACCGCTCCCTGATGATCGCCATCCACTTCTCAGACTCCTCCGCCAGGTCCCGGAACTGGTCATTGGAGACAATGACCCCGTCGGTCTCTTCAGCCAGCTTCACCATGAACCTGTCTCAAAAACCACGGCAGCCGTTCTGGGATACTCCAAGGCCCCAACCCCAGAGTATCATCGACTTCCATGACCCACTTCTGGGCATGGAGATCTGACCCCCCCACCTCACCTTGACCCAGTCACTAGGTGACTGCCAGATTCAGGTGCCATAGTTAAGAGAGGAAACAGAGACAAATCCGCATGGTCTCCCAAGAGCATCCCCTCTATCCACCACAACCCTCCACCCAACACTTTGTGCCTCATTCATGAAAGACTGTGAGATCTGGCTCCAGCTCTGTCTCCTTCCATCGTCCCCCATCAGTCACAAATCCATCATGCTCTTCCTCTGAAGAGCCTTCCACTCTGCCTCCTTCCTTTCCAGTCCTACCATTACCCTTCACTATTTGAACATTGCACCTGAGATACCGCATAGCCTCCTGATAAGGGGTGCCCTGACCCCAGCCATTTACCACCCTCAAGTCTCTCCTGCCCTCCCCTAAAAGAACACGCGTTTCCCCCAAACAAAACTCTTCCCTCCTTGCCATTTATCTACTGAATAAAGTCCACAGGGCTGGCAGCTACGGCCTTCTAGAACCCAGCTCAATCTACCTGTACAGCCGTATCTCTTCTGGTATTCTCTAATGTACTCTCAACTCTGGCAAAATCAATGATCAGATAACACCCTGTTCTCCAAACATGCCCTGTGCTGTCTGACTGCCACCATGCTTCTCAGACGATTCCCTCCATCTAGAGGTGCTTCCCAAACCTCACTGGATGAACAGGATCACCAGGGAACTTTTAAAAAAGAGATGCCTGGGCCTCACTTTAGTAATTCTGATTCCACAAGATGAGATAGGACTCTTGAGGCAATGGGTGGGGGTCTTTTATAACAGGTTTAGAAACCAAAAAGCTGGGGCCCAGCCCAGCCCACATCCTCAATCAACAAAAAAACTTGCTAATCTCTCCCTTCCCACAAAATCCCCACCAGAAGGGGGCTCCCTTTCCTCCGAGATGCCATAGTGTTTGGTTTATGGTTTGTTTGGGCTCTGAAATCAATAATCAGGCCTTCCCTAATTCCCAGCACCCCCACCTCCTTCTACAGGCCACGTGCCTACTGCTAGGTGCTAAGTGGGCAGGCAGTATTGGAAAGACAGTGTGGTGAACAGCGAACGAGTGATAAGCATTAGGTGTAACATGACTGGTTCTGAGTTTCTGTCTGGGAAACACATGAAGGAGACGACATACAAATGTACATGGTATCATATGATAATAGAAAAGGTATCTGCAGGTTAAGGGTATTTTACTGTCATGTTACTTCTTCTGTTGCTCAGCAGTATTCATTCAGTAGGCCTATGCTATGCACCACTCTGCTACTCACTGTAACTAGACAAAATTCCAAATTCATATTGTGCTGTCCGCCTACTGGGACCTACATAACAGACACGTGCCTTTAACATTCATTACAACTGACTCGCTCTTCAGTTTCAATTCTGTGTCAGTGCTGGTGTGGAAATGTTCCATGTCTTGGATAATCTGTGAAATCTAGACATAAAACAGAAGAGCACTGGGAGAAAGTGAACTGCCTTTTTGCAGAATACCATTTGTTCGTTAGGGAGAAAAAAGTATTTGAAAAGACAAAATATATAATCACTGTGGCTTGGAAACTCATTTTTTTCTTTAAGACTGAAAATCCTAGAGAATAAAGAACTTGTAATTGCAAATAATTGGCTTTTAAAATCTGCCCATTTCCCCCTCTATGTGTGTACCCTGGGGAGGGAATGTGCCCTGGATTTTTTATTTAAACAATTTGACAGCTTTAACTTCTCACTTTGCCTTTGCCATGTAGTATAGCCTTTGTTTGTTAAGAGTTAACCACCACTCTTGGGGCGCCTGGGTGGTTCAGTTGGTTAAGCATCTGACTTCAGCTTAGGTCGTGATCTCACAGCTCATGAGTTCAAGCCCCACATCGGGCTCTGCACCGACAGCTCGGAGCCTGGCGCCTGCTTTGGATTCTGTGTCTCCCTCCCTCTGCACCTCCCCCACTCACGCACAGTCTCTGTCTCTCAAAAACAAAATATAAAAATTTTTTAAAAAGGTAACCACTCTTACCCTATGTCTGCATTTCTGTGTGACAGACATGAGACCTACTGCCATAGTTGAGGGGGTCCCTGACAAGTCAAGGACTATCACTGTACACTTGCCTGGCACCTTGAGTGAGGCAAGCACATACCTTAGCTTCTTTTGATATTCACAAGGAGGGTGAACAGATAGAAGAGGACCCTGGGACAAAGAGGTTAACCCGTTAAGAGACTGGTCTGTAGTCAGAGTCAAGGAGTAGGTACAACTTGGGGCTCAAATTCAGATCTTCAACTTCTAAGTCCAGTGATGTTCCTATTGTAACACGTTTTGTATCATCTTAGTATGGCCGCATTGTGTTTCTTCCTTTGCCTTTGTTATTTTGAACAGCTACACCGGTACTTCCAGGGGGATTTCACTACATGTTTGGAAATTTGGGCTGTAAGAAGTTATTTATGTCACCAGCTTTCCCAGCTTCCCATTAAACTAGTATGTTCTAGACAGTAAGGCACTATATAAATACAAGGCATCATTTAGTCTGATGAATCAAAAATGAATGAATGGGCAAACACAGTTGTCTACCTTCTGTCTCCTCTGGCCTGGATTCATTCAGGTACGCGGAGGAATAACTGGCCATTTTCCCGCTGCCCAGACTTAGAGACCGCACAAAGGGTCAGGGGCTTCCATCCCCGCCTCAGCTGCCCCCACTGTGCTTCTTGAATCTCAATACTGGGGCCAGGAGAGAAGCAAGTACCTATCATCGTAGGAGGAGATCCTCTTGCCATCCATGACTCGGGAGGGAGTGAGAGAGAGCAGGCTGAGGGAGTATAGCTTTTGCAGGAAGTGGCCCTCTAGAGAAACAGAGGAGCACAATGGGGTTATCCTCAAGTTGAAGCGGGGCCTATCCCGGGTTACAAAACATCGTGCCCAACTCACCTCTGACCTTGGCATCCTTACTGAAGCGCCACTGAGGCACAAAGACAGTTATGTCACGGTGGCCCCGGTCCCAGAAGTACTGCACAGCAATGGCAATGCCCCGGCTGGAGAAGTAGTGTTGGAGGCCATGCCTGCAGTGGGAAGGGGTCAGCGCTCTAGGGCCCCAGAGACGGGGCCTCTCAGCATGTGTCCCCAAGGTCCATAAAACTGTTCATATCATCCCCCTCCCTGGGATCCTCAGGCCCACCAGGTACTCACACCATGGCCACATTGCTGCCATCAATGACAATGTGACGGAGGTCTGGCTGGCCAGGCACATTGGCAAGGCACAGGGTGAAAGGGTCCTGCAGGGCCTCCTGGAAACGCTGCGTGCCAGTCACCAAGTTGCCCCCGCGGGTACCTCGTTTCCACGGAGACCCACGGCCTCGAGCCACGACCTGCTGCTTGTCTCCCCTGTCTCCTCGGTCTCCGCAGTGCCACGGGGGTTCGGGTGCAGGTGGAGGGCTAGGCACCCTTGGAGGTGAGGCCTTCCCATTGTGTAACCGCTGGAGGAGGGAGGCTCCCCGGGGCTGAGCTGCCCTCGGACAGGAACCCTGGGCACCAGGAGGCTCACTCTGGACACAGAACCGTCCTCTGTCCTGAGGCACCCCCTCCTTCCCCAGGCCCTTTCCTGTCAGGGGCCCTACCTGCCCTGCCTCTCCTCCTCCTGGCTGTGATCTGAAGGCCCCTTCTTTCTCCCAGGCCTCTTGCCCAGACAGCTCCTTCCACCCCAAATCCATCTCCCTGGGACCACCCTGCTTCCCTCCCTCCTTCTCCATAACATGTCTCTCTCCCCTTGACTCTTGCCACCTTGTAGGTCCAGTGTGCAGGGACTCCCTGCCTTCACTCGAGAGAGCTCTGACTCCCTGGTACTGAGCACCCAGTGGGCCCGGGCTCCCCCCCACCCAGGGGGGTATTGCATGGGGCCCCTGCCCTCTGGATGCCTCCTGCACCAGACTCAACAGTTCCTCCTGGACAGCCAGGGGCAGCTGTAGCAGGGCCTCTCTGTGGACATCCCCATAGGGCTGCAGCAGGGCGGAGAAGTCTTGCAGCACTCCAGCACACTGAGAGACTCTGGGGGATCGCCCTGGCTGAAAGTCCCAGCTCAGCCGCTCCACCAGCTCCTCCACTCTGCTCTGAGCCATGACGAAGGCCTCAGTCAGGCCACTGACCATTAGCGAGCCGGGCAGCCCAGGCACCAGGTGGGCTGATGTGCTCCAGACCAGACAATCAAGGAAGAAGCCCTGGGCTCCCAGGAAGATGCAGTGCAGTTTGGGTGGGTAGTGGATTTCATTCTGCAACTCTGGGCTGCAGAGACCCTTCAGGAACTCCTGGGGGAGGAATAGGGATAGGGGATAGGAAAAAAGGAGACTTCTGGAATTCTACATGGCCCAGTAGCCTCTTCAGGCCCATTGCACACCACCACCACCCCATCCCTGAGTTCCAGGATGCCTGGGCAGAGAAATGGAGCCCCACAGAGCCTGACAAAGGTGAGGGTTAAAAAGGGATCAAGAATCTCACTTCTTTTCCCTTTTCAGCTGATAGGGCTACGGCTAATATTTCCACTTAGAACCTGACTCAACTTAAGATATTATTATAATAAACTGATCACAAGGCCATCTCTGTAAATATGTATTCGTGCTAAATATGTATGCGTGCGTACGTGTGTTGTAGATTTCCATCACAAGGACTGTCATTTGCTAACTTTTGCTGGACTCATGCTTTATCTCATTCACAATAAGTCCAATGAAGTGGATACTGCTATTATTCACATTTCATAGATAAGGAAAGGGAGACTCGGTCATGAGGCCACCCCATGAGGTAAGTGGAGCTGTACTAGAACCTCTGACGGCAGGAAGCAATGGGGCCTGGCTTCCCATCCCCCAGTGAATTCCTTGGTGGGGCCTGCTTGCCCAACCGGATTATCTCTAGTCTTCAAAAACAGCACAACTGATTTGAGTGGAATCACCTGTCTCTAAGTCCTGGCAGAACCTGGCTCAACATAGCTCAAATGAAGCCAAAACTCCAGAAAAATACAGATTTGCAAAGTCCCTCAAAAGATGACAGTCACTGAGGTTGCCAGTAAGACAACCAAGGAGTGAGTGGAGCTCCTCCCCAGCGGCCCCTCCTGGGCTCTGCCTCCCTGTAGGGGAGGGAGACATTGTTCCCCAAAGGGTCAGAGAGGGGTGTTCACCTTGGCTCTGCTGGCGTTCTCCTTGGGGCCCTCCAGCTGCAGCCAGATGTGAGGGTTTTCAGGACAGTCCTTTGGGAGGACACTCATCCCCACGCTGAAGATGCGCTCCACGTAGGGTTGCTGCTCCCGCACCTTGTCCTCAGCCTCCGCAGACACGGCAAAGCGGTCAGGGGACGGGGAGCCAGCCCCCCAGGTGGGCATGGCTGCTTGGCCACCCAGCCCTGGAAGGAGGGAAGGCAGCTCAGAGCCTCCTTGTCCCCTTAACCCAAATCTTGGGTCTCCCACCCTACACCAGCTATCAACAGGTCGCGATACCGATCTAGTAAACAACCTGGGTCCATCCTGGGGGTAGGAAGAGAATGTCAGATTATCCGGAACCAGGTCTTCTCTCAGGAGAGGAAGTCATGGGCAAACAAGGCTGCCTACTGGGGATGGGCATCTGGCCTTTGGAAAAGGCTGACCACAGCCCTAAGCAGGAAGAGTGGGGGCTCCAGATCGGTCTGGAAGCCAGAAGTGGATAGATGACAAAAGAGTCCCTCTCCTCAGGATCTCTGCAGTCTCCGCGTCCAAGACGGCCTCTTAAAGATGAATCCGCACCAGGGCTTGAACTGGGATGTCCTCTGGAGTCCCTGGTCTGCCATTTCCAAGGTTCTAGCCCCTCCCACCTCTCCCCCTCCCTCCGCCGTCCGCCGCTCTTCTAGGTAGCGCCAAGGCCCCACCCGGGGCCCAGGGGTCAAGCCGGGTCCCGCCCACAGCCGCCAGCTGCCACCGCCCCCGGCGCCCTTCCCCCGGCCGCGCTCAGCACAGGGGCCTCCGGCTCGGCTCCCGCCGCCGGGGCACGGGGCAGAGCGCGCCTACCCGCCTTGGCCGCCTGCTTCGGCCTCAGTACAGCGGGCGCCTCTCGGTGCCTGCAGGCCCCAGCTTCACCCGCGCCCCAGGCCCAGCGGAGAAGGGCTGGGAGCCCGAAACTGGGCGGGCCTTCCCGAAGTCCTCACCCAACGGGGACCTGTCTTCGCCACATCTCGAACAGTTTTTTGAGTCACTTCCTGGCCCGGGGCGGAGTCAGCCAGGCCCCACCCGGCGCAGGGCGGGCTCCGGGCCCTAGCGCGCGCCTGCCGCCGGGACCCTCCCTGACCCGCCCCCGGCCCGCCTCCCGGCCCCGCCCACTCGCCCGGGGTTCGCTTGTCCTCAGCTTCCAAGCCTGCCTGATGGGTTCACCTCTCCCGGTAAATCTGGGTTCTCGCTCGTTCTGCGCAGTTGTTTCTCGGGAGAGAGGAACCACTCATTGAGAGCTGGAGGTGAAGAGGATCCCTTCGGATGAAGATGTGGAAGATCAAGGAGAGAAAGAGACTGGCCCACGGTCACAAGATACTGACACGGTTGGCCCAAGCACTTTCCACCACGATCGTAGGGGAAAGACAAGGTCACCCGCTTTCATCTAATGGCGGAAAGGGGCCACTGAGAGGGCTGTTGACTAGTGAGGGATTTTAAGAGGAGAGGAATGAGGAAAAGGAGGGGCTGTACGAGCTGTCTGGCGCATAGATGCACGCTCACCGGCATACACCTACAGGCTCTCACACATTCTCACAGGCACATGTACACTTTTACACACCAAGTTCTCTATGGTCCCAGATCCAGCCTTCAGTGCTCTCCAGAGGGGCTGCCCTGGGTTCTGGCTGTAGCCCTTCTGTCTCTCTGCTTCATCCCTCCTCTGCCTCCTAGCGCCCAACTGCTGTCACTTCGTGCCCTGCCAAGGAGGAGGGAACTGCAGTGACAGCAGGAGAGAGAGGCAGGACAGAGTCGTGGGGTACAGAGAGGTATGGAGAGGGAGATGCTGAGACCAGGTTAACAGTGAGACCCAGAGAGGGGGCTGAGGAGCAGGGTGAGGGGTGGTGAGAGCCCCGGGGGAAGCAGGAACTGAAAGGAGCGGCAAGAGGGGACAAGACAGGAAGACTTGTGGGTCACAGAACAACTCAGCCATGCCGGGAGCAAAGCGACACTGGCGACCAAGACTCCCACCCAGCCCCAGGCTGCCCTTGGCCCTGATACTTCTGACCCTAGGGAATGGGTGGGCCCAAGAGGGGGCAGAGCCTGTCCTCCTGGAGGGGGAATGCCTGGTGGTGTGTGAGCCTGGCCGAGCTGCTGCAGGGGGGCCTGGGGGAGCAGCCCTGGGAGAGGCCCCCCCAGGAAGAGTGGCATTTGCTGCAGTCCGAAGCCACCACCACGAGCCAGCAGGGGAGATCAGCAATGGCACCAGTGGGGCCATCTACTTTGACCAGGTAATTCCCCTACCCTTGTCCAGGGGACGTGTAATGACCTGAAATCAACTACTCAAACCCACTTGGCTCTTAAGGAAAACCCCCCTGCTGTGATGTGACTAGGTGCTCCTCCGCTCCTCTGCCCTGCTGCCTGTCTCCCTTCCCTACACCCCTACCCACACTCCTCCTTGCCCGTTCTCATTTCTTGTGAATCTGTGCATTCCTCCTATTCTTATCTACCTGCCACCCCTTCTTTTCCTTACTCACTGCCCTGTCCCATAAGCCAGTAGTTTCCCTCAATCCCCACTCAGCAGAGTCTGCTTCCCACAGGTCTTGGTGAATGAGGGTGGTGGCTTTGACCGGGCCTCGGGCTCTTTTGTGGCCCCTGTTCGTGGTGTCTATAGCTTCCGGTTCCATGTGGTGAAGGTGTACAACCGCCAGACTGTCCAGGTGACCTGTGTACTGGGGCCCTGTCCTGGCTCAGGAGGGGAGGGAAGGGAGAGGGAATAAGTAGAGTCCTGCTGACTCCTAGGCAGTCCCTCCCTTGACGGTGTCCTTGGGTGAGGGTGGTGCGGCTGGCAGGAGGAAGAGAGGAAAGGACCTGTCTAGCAGAGAGTGTGGAGGAGGTACTGAGTCCAACCCTGGCCATCCCTCAGCCCCCCACTGAGCGTGTGCTGAGCCCCAAGTTCCCAGGATTGCAGAGTATCCCTTGGGAGCTGGAGAAAAGAAGAAGCCCTCGGGCAAGTGGGGGATCTTGGGATAAAGGGAGAAGTGCTAACTGGGCTCATCTCACCAGGTGAGCCTGATGCTGAACACGTGGCCCGTCATCTCAGCCTTTGCCAACGACCCTGATGTGACCCGAGAGGCAGCCACCAGCTCTGTGTTACTGCCCCTGGACCCTGGGGACCGAGTGTCCCTGCGCCTGCGTCGGGGGAACCTACTAGGGGGCTGGAAATACTCAAGCTTCTCAGGCTTCCTCATTTTCCCACTCTAAGGGTTCAGGCCTTTCAAGGACTGGAATCTAACCCCTGCCTTCTGCCCTCTGCCCTCTCCTGCCCCAGAAGCAGCATCTTTGGAGTAGGAGAGAGGCTCCCTGTGGCTGCCTGTATTCCACCTTCTTGCATGGAACCCTGTGCCTAACACCCAAGGTGAAGAGTAGAGCTGTGGTGTCTGGGGACTTGGCCCCCCTCACCTACCCTCCCACCCCCATCCTCCCACTGCGTCTCTTTGTGCCTGCAAGGTACGGCAGGTGGCAAGGCCTGTGCTACTTTGCAGACTCTGTTCTTCCTGTTCCTCCACCCCCAGCCTTCTGCTCAGTGCTATTTGGGGACAGGTGGCACAGGTGAGCCTGACAGGCCCCCCCACAGGGACCCAGATGGACCAGCCTCAGTGTACCCTGCAGGCTCCTTCCTATGAGGTGTGCCAGCATCACGGATCTTGGCCAGCAGAGTCAGAAGCCGAGCCAGCACAGTGTGGGCTAGGGCAGGAGGCTTAGCGACCAGCAGAAGTGTGGGGAGGACCACAGGACAGCCCAGAGCCTGTGGCTGGTGGGGCAGGAAGGCCATGTGCCCAGACTGAACATGGTACACACTTTTCATGTACACTGGGGCAGCCAGCAGACAGCGAATCTGGGCATCCATCTGTGCAAGGTCCCCGATGGACTCTGGCCCTCACCTCCCCACCTAAGACGTGGGGTGTGTGTGTTTGCTGCAGCCAAGAGTGGGTGTGCTGAGCTTCCTTGGACAGCTGGAGGTAGGGGTAGACAGTCACACGTGGGCAAGTATTGATCTCCAAGCATGACACACGTCAATGACGCAGCCACCTCCTAGAACCTTTGTGATCTGAACTTCAACGACTCCACATTCTGACCGCCACCGCCACCCTCCCAGCTCTCTCAGCTACCTTCACTGTACCTGTCCCAAACTAGTCCTAGCCTCTCTTCTTTCTCCTGATTTGTGCTGTTTTGTCCTCCTTCTTAAACTTCCTATTGTCTTAGATGCTATGATTCATCCCTTCAGCCACTCTCCTGCCAGTGTTATAAAATCTCTATGTCTTACCGCACGCTGTCCCATTCTCCCAGCATGGATAAACCTATCAGTAAAGCAACTAGAGAATGACAGTCTGAGAAACCACAGGAGCCCTGAAGAGACAAGATGCCATTTACAATTTGGATCAGGGGTTACAGGATACAAGCAGGTATGTTTAGAGAAGAGAAATGTAAAATTGTATATTTGAGTCAAATACAAAAGGAAATTAGTAATGCTTAAATTACATAGGAAACACCAACGCGGATGTGTGGCTTTCAAAAGAAGTAACTTTTTCAAAATCTGTCACTAAAGTAGCCTAGAAACAATATTAGAAAAAATCTGACATGCATTCTGAGCACCTGGATCTTTGCCTCAAATACGATTCACCTTTAAAAGAACTTGGGGCGGGGCGCCTGGCTTGCTCAGTTGGTAGAACGTGTGACCCTTGATCTAGGGGTTGCAGTTTAGAGCCCCACATTGGGTGTAGAGATTACTTAAAAATAAAAGTCATAAATAAATAAATAAATAAATAAATAAATAAATAAATAAATAAAATAAAAAGAACAGAACTCCATCTCTTAAATAACTCTATGCCTGGAACATGTTGTTAATGACAAAAAGCAAGGATACTTTTTAAACTGTATCGGGTAGAGCCGAAAAGGCAAAGGAATCCATTTTCAAATTCTCCCACCCCTTGACATGCTGTGACCATTTGATCATCGAAAGGAAAATAATACAGTTAATTGGAACAAGGTGAATTTTTAAAACCCATGACTCTGTAGTGATATTTAAAAGGGAAAAAGTCACTATAAAATGTGCAAAAAGATAGTTAATTTATCAAATGAAGAAAAACAAATATAATCATATATATTTAGCTAATTCTGATAAGTAGAAGAGTGTAAATATAGTGAGTATTTTATCTCTTCGTAAAGTATACTTATTTTTCTTTATCTGTATAAGTAGGGAAGGGTGGACACATAGAGCTGTGAGTGATTCCAGAAAAAGTTGGAACTGTATCAAGAATGGAGGAGACTGATTGGCACCATCTGGTCATATATCACAACCAGGAAGAAAGGGAGCCCAACAGTGTGTTGCAAGATGATGAATTAGTCAAACGTCCAAAAGATAACTGCTCACAGCTCAAATTTGATCCTTCATTTCTTGGGAAAGGGAGCCTCTATGTCACCAAACTAATTTCAATGAGATTGCAGTAACAGCAAACCCAAAATAATAACGGGTTAACCAACAAAGAAGATTATTTCTGTCTCACATAGAAGAATTCACAAATAAAGAGTAGGGCTGGATCACAGTTTTATGATGATTGCAGCCAAGTTTCCCTTCGTGCTGTTCTACCATCGTTAGCATGCCATATCATGGCCCAAGATGGCTCCTTGCACGCCAGCCATTACATTAGCCTTACAGCCCCCCAGGAAGCAGGAAGGAAGAAAGAGCACACCACCTTCCTTTATAGAAGCCTTCTGAAAGTTGCCCCCAACATGCTGATTACATCTCATTGGCTAGAATTTAGGCACACCTGGCCACACCAGGCCAAGGAGAGAGGCTAGGAAATCGAGTCTTTATTCCAGACAGCCATGCTGAGCTAAACATCATGAGTTTTATAATGTGGAAAAAGAGGAGACTGGATATTGAGGAAAAACAACTAGATGTTTTTGAACGTGCAAATGGGCTACATAAATTCGTAAATAATGGCAGGGAAGTTACTGTGTTGGTTTTCTATTGCTATATAACAACTTCAGCAGCTTGACACAACACCTATTTATTATCTCACAGTTTTCTGTAGGTCAGAGTCCAGCAGAGCATGACTGGCTTCTCTACTTGGGGTTTCATAAGGGTGAAAGCAAGGGGGAAGAATCCACTTTCAAGAGCATTTAGAATTCAGTTCCTTATGGCTGTAGGACTGAGATCCCTGGCACCCACCATCTTTAGGCCAGCAATGTCAGTCCAAGTCCTTCTCACACTTTGAATCTCTCTGACCTATCCTTCTGAGAGTCAGAAGTCTCTGACTTCAGTGGAGAAATTTCTCTGATTTTAAGTGCTCATGTGATTCGATTGGGCCTGCCCAGATAATCCAGGCTAATCTTCCTCTTTTGACCTTAATTACATGAGACATCTGGGTGGCTCAGTCAGTTAAGCATCCGACTCTTGATTTCAGTTCAGGTCAAGATCGCATGGTCATGATCTCATGGTCCTGGGTTGGAGCCCTGTGCATCAAGCCCTGTGCCTCAGGCTCTGCGCTGAGTGCAGATTCTCTCTCTCTCTCTCTCTCTCTCTCTCTTTCTCTGCCCCTTCCCCACTCACTTGCTCACTCTCTCTCTAAAATTAAAAAAATTTTTTTTAATTTAGAAAAAGATTCTCTCTCTGCTCCTCTCCCTCATTTGCTCACTCTCTCTCTCTCAAAGTATAAATAAATAAATAACCTTAATTACATATGAAAATGTCCCTTTTGCTATGAAACATAATTCAGAGGCTCCAGGGATCAGGGCATGGGCATTTTTGGAACATCTGCAGGGAACATGGACATTTTTGAAATATCCTAGTCATTAAGTTTTAAGATGGCATCATCTAGGGGCGCCTGGGTGGCTCAGTCAGTAAAGTGTCTGACTTCGGTCCGGGTCATGATCTCACGGTTTGTGGGTTCAAGCCCCACATCAGGCTCTGTGCTGACAGCTCAGAGACTGGAACCTGCATCAGCTTCTGTGACTCCCTCTCTCTCTGCCCCTCCCCTGCTCATGCTCTGTCTCTGTCTCTCAAAAATAAATAAATGT